AGAACAGATGCTTCAATGTGATATGGCCGTAAACAGACTTAATCTAATATTTAACAACCTTAGTCTAATAAATAAACGAAAACTCTGAGAGGATAATTAGTTATTGAATTCACAACACTATTAATTTGGCTAATGAGTTGATTTCGGTAACTGTATATATAAATTTAATTAGGAATAAATTCTTGATTAAATGTATATTTATTTACATTATTTACAATCGGACTAATGTCCTCAATTTTATCGTTAAAAGTCAAAAGTCCCGTAACCCATGATGGTTATAGAGGCATCCGTGATTGACGAAACTGTATACAACCTCACAACATACAGAGGTCTCCAAAAAATTACTTCAAATTTTGTTAAACATTCTGGCGTATTATATTAATAAGGGGCTTCCAAATTTTATACAGCTTTGGACTAAGTTTAAATCCTGCTGTCTATAAATACATATATTTATTAGATTGAAATATAAATAATTTCAGTTTTTCTTATCAATTTTATTCATAAAAAAATAAAATACGACTACAGTTACTATCACAATGTTTCGGCCGTTGAACCTTCCGACATTTCTTCAGATGTCTGTTGATCCGGGTAACCTTCGGGAAATTTCGAACTGAACACTTTATTCAATCTGCGGGAGTAGGCAGTTCTCATCCCTCTGTCTGTGTCTAGATATATCTAGTCTTGGGTAAATGTCTCTTTTCGTACGGTTCAGTTATTGGCAATCTTGTTTCTCTTGAGTATAGCCGTACTACTTGGCCGAAGGATTGAACTCACACCTACTATGCCGCCAAATTCTTCTTCTTCTTCTTCTTCTTCTTCTTCTTCTTTGTGACGTGTCCCTTCAGGGCGTGCGCGATCGTGACTCTCCACAATTTCCTATTTTTGTAGCTTTTAATGAATGTTGCTCTTTTCACTATCTGCCCTGATCTTTATTCTGCCAACCTTTTACACAGGCTTTTTACGTAGGTTATTCACGGTTTTCCTCTGCCCCTCTTGCCTTTAATGTCCTGTCAGTGTCAAATTTTCTAAACCCTCTTTCCTCATTAAAGGGCCTCAGGAATTTCAATTGTTTTTTTCTGATGTTAAGTATAAGTGTCCTTTTTACTTGCATTTTCTTTGAAACTTCGTCATAGCTCACATGTTCACTCCATAGTATTCTCAGCATCCTTCTGTAGAACCACATTTCTATTTTTCTCAAGTCTCTTCTTCATCTGTGAGATTGTCCATCATTCACTGCCATATAGGAAGACCGATATGACATAATAGCTAAGTACTCTTTTCTTTGTTTCTAACGAGATTTTCCTGTTTCTTAATACTTTGCTTAGCTTTTGGAAGGCACCTTTCGCTATCCCAATGCGCCTTCGGATTTCGCTGTTGTACTGTCCGTTCTCTGTTAAACGCTTCCCAGATATTTAAATTTTCATACTTGCTTGATTTTAGCATCCCCAATTTGTAATTTGCATATTGGGCTGTCTCTTTTGCTGACAACCATACATTATGTCTTCTTACAATTAATGTTTATTCCTTTCTTCTCATTTTCCTTTACTACTTTCTGTAGGAATTCCTTTATTCTCCTTTCTGTATCTGTATATCTAATTTTGTTAAGATTGTTGCCGCCAATAATGAATCCTGGTAGGAATTCTAATTCTCATAGAATCACCTCACTGTAAATGTTGAATAAATCTGGAGAGAAGGCAACTCGTCGTCTTGCACCTTTTTCTATTTTTGTATATCTGCAGGACTTATTTTCAATCTGTATGCAGGCCGTTTGCTGTTAGTATAAGTACTGGATTATTCCAATGTCCTTCCGGACCGTCGGTTTCAACAATGAAATATCCTATCTTAAAATATAAAAGGAACGATAAATTCAAATTTACTTCATTAGACGCAACCTACTGTTTGCCAAGAATTCGAAATTGTAATAAAATTTATAGATGTCCGAATAGCGTATCTTATCGATATGGAAAGTGGACTAAATTCGCAACAGCGATGAAAGCAGATGAAATAGATGGCAAAAGTAGAGAGAAACTGATATTTTTTTTTACAATGATGTTCAATCTTTACAAGGCTCGAGAGCCACTTGAGGTAGAAGGTTACAGATTAAGCAACATAGTTTATATGAATATGTGGGGAAAATAACGGTTAAACCTAGACTTGAACAGGTTAAGATTGTAGTGGTTTGGGAAATATCCTCTTGGGAGTCAGTTCCACAAAGCATCGGTTCGTGGGAAGAAGCTACTCGAGGGGAACGTACATTTCACTAAAGGAATACGGATGTAATGAAGTTGGTTCGTTAGAATCTGCGTGGCATGACGGGTCTTAGACGTGAAGGAAAGGACCAGTGGAAGTAATCAATGTCGTTCTTCTGAAAGTTTTCCATGGGAAAAAAAAAGAAAAATAGAAAAGCTAGGGAAAAGTGGAAAACCAAGAAATCAAAATAAATGAAAGAAAGAAAATAATTCAACGTTACAAGAGAAAGAAGGAAAAAAACGAGGAAAATTAAAACGGAAAGGAAAACAAAAAGTTTGGAAAGAAAGAAAGAAAGAAAGAAAGAAAGAAGATGGGGAACGAAAGGAGAGAAAAACAAAGAAAGATAACTGAACTAAATAAATATGAGAACTGAAAAGAAAGAAAGAAAGAAAGAAAGAAAGAAAAAGAAAGAAAGAAAGAAACAAAGAATAGGGCAGGAGAATCGGGTAAGGACAAAAGGAAAAAAAAAGACAAAACAGAGAATTAAAGTTGAAATAAATAAGAAAATAAATGAAAAGTGAAAATAAAGAAAGAAAGAAAAGAGATGTGAAAGAAAGAAAGAAAGAAAGAAAGAAAGAAAGAAAGAAAGAATATTGGTGGAGGATCGAAGTGGAAAAAAAAGAAGAAAAGACAACACAATGCATGAAAGTTGATAAAAAAGAAAAAAAGTGAATAGAAAAAGAAGCAATAAAGAATGCCAGGAAGAAGAAAAAATAACAAGAAAGAAAGAAAGAAAGAATGAAAGAAAGAAAGAGTGAGCTTTAGAACCAGAACTAGAATATTTGTTGTAGAACGGGAGGAAGAAACACTACCTATCTCGGTAAAATCTTATTTAGCTTGTCATGTGACTGTGTCTTGAATGCCGACACCCATGCCAGCACAATAGGTCAGCCAGTTTGAGGCCAACGATTTGCAACCACACATCTTCGCCCTGAATAAAATCTGACGCTTCACACCCATTATTTGTACAGTCAACTTCGACACGTCACAGAGGCGGAAAGAAAAACGACATTCGCCTGAACTTGAAGCATAGGCAATCAGAGGCTTGGTTTCCCGTCTGCTGCACCAGTTTTGCCGAAAAACGTACTTGAATTGAAATGCCTAAATAACTTTTTTCATGGTTAGAATTTGTCTATTCTATTATTAGTGATTGTTGCTAATGTTTTTATTATGCCTAATTTATGCGAATAAAGAGGTGGGGTGCATAATTCTAGAGTATATTTACAAAACCTCATTAAGTATAATTAACGTTTTCGGTTTAGCACACTAGTATGCCACTGTGCACATATTAATTATGCAAAACGAAGTTGATATTTTGGGTGATCAGGGAAATAAATAAAAACATGTCGTTCAAAAATAGAAAGGCTAGATAGGACCTTATACGAAGATATAAAAAAAAATGAAAGGCCAAAAACTGGGGCCGGGTATTTTTTTCATTAAATGAATTCAAATAGGTTTGATGTGTGCAAAATTTTCCGGCTCTAATTTTTGTAAACTAGCGATGATAAAAATAATTTTTTATACTGATGTCCACCCAATACAAGGACCGAGAGCCACTCAAGGTAGAGGGTTACTGTATTCATGACGTTATGTAAGAGTCTGTTCAACAAGGCAGCACTTTTTATGAAGAAGCTGTCCGAGTGGAACTTGTTGCTACTCGAATACGGGGGTGATGAGTATATTTCAGCTTCGTATACGTGATATGACGGGTCCCAGCTGCAGACATCAGGGCTGGTGGAACTAAGGAATGTAGCTCGTTAGGACACTTGATTCAACTGGGGATATTCAGAACAAACTGTCAAAACAGGAAACTGGACAATGCCATGAACTGAAGACAAATAACAAAACTTTTTTACGCTAATGTTCACCCAATACAAGGCCAAAGAGCCACTCAAAGTAGAGGGTTACTGTTTGGTGTTGTACGAGTATAAGAAAAGGCAAGAAGTTCATGAGGTTATATAAGAAAGATAAAGGTTAACCCTACTTGAAGAGGTTAAAATTGTAATGATCAGGGGAAAAACATTTTTCACTGGAAATATTTGGTTGCACATAATAAAATCTTTATGAGGAGGGAGAAATGAAGAAAAAAGAAAAGAGAACGTTTTAAACTAAAGTTCACCTAATGCAAGGTTCAGGAGCCACTGGGGGATTACTCAATTAAGTGTGTGATATGAACATAAGGGGCGGTCGAAGGAAATGAAGGTTATGACAATGAGGAGGATAGACAGTAACTGGTCCTTGACTTGAAGATGTTAAAAATGTAGTGTTTAGTGAAGCATCCCCACAGGAGTCTGTTCCACGGCGTAGCAGTTCTCGGGGAAAGGCGGTCTGAGAGGAACTTCCAAACAAAATGTGGAGGAAAGATAGATCGTTATCTATTTTCCCGTTCCTCATAATCATCACTTCCTTCTAACTGCTCGTACATTCAATAAGGCTCTATTACGAGTGCCTCTTGAGCCTTGTATTGAAAGTATTAAGACAAAGACAAAGATTAAGATCCTTTTTTTCTTTTCGGAAAGTGAAGGTCCTTTGTTAGAAATAGGCCTTCTCCAGATTCATTAGGGAGGAATGGGCCATTACCCTACCTCGCTGGCCCAGGGGGGGGGGGGATGACCATGCCTCTTTTCGATTCCTGATCGCCTAAGTGTGTTTGGAAAGTGAATATAACGGACCCGACTGGAATTCGAACTCGGCTATCCGATTTCCCCTTCCGAACCGTTATCCATTACACCACCTGCACACCCAACCTTACAGTATTTCCAATCGGTCACACATCTAGGTACCGACCATGCTCGACGTTGCTTAACTTCGGAGATCGGGTGGGAACCGGTGTTTCAACGTGATATAACCGTAAGCCCACTACTAAAATTAAGATGAAATAAAGAGAATCATACTTATAAAACCCAGGTTGTGTGTGTGTGTGTGTATGTGTGTGTGTGTGTACGTACGTTTATATATGGGATCGGATTTCCTACATTTTTCAACCGATTTCAACAAAACTTCACAGGACTACGTAAAATTAGCTTGCGGTGGTTCTTACAGCGCTAAAATTTGGAAAAACACAATTGTTTTTGCACGAAATCAGTTTGAAAACACGATTAAGAGGCATCGTGAGGATGAAAGGGGGACAACTCATATCGAGTTATACTTATTATAAAACCCAGGTTGTTTGTGTGTGTGTGTCTGTGTTCGTTTACATATGGGATCGGATTTCCTACATTTTTTCAACTTATTTCAACAAAACTTCACCTTTTTTTGGCAGGTAGTGTTTCTTATTGTCTTGCACACTTTTTTCTTTATTTTTACATTCAGAATGCTTTAAAAATTCCATTTACAAGACAATTGTTTATAATAAAATTCTATTCAATCGGTAGACTCATAACGATTGAAAACATTGTTTTTGTTTGAGTTTGGGTTTGAACAATTCGTAAAAAAAAAAAACCCAAAAAAACAAAAAACTAATTAAGACATGCGTGTCCGTCAACCTTAAACAATAATCTTTGTCAATTTTATTTTTCAGTCTTTATGATGGTCGATACTTGATCTATCTCTTACTGTTACATCCCCGGGCAACGCCGGGCTCTACTGCTAGTTTAAAATAAAGATGAAGAAAAAGGATTTATTTAATTAGAATATTTCCTTTCTGGTTTAAGTGAATATTTGACTTTTTATAAATATATTCCCAGTTCAATGTACAGCGAGGTAATTGCGCGTTAAATTCAACATGATTAATCTGTCGTTTTCCTCTTTACAAAACAAATACTTTTTTCTGGTCAGAATATCTTAAAGTAGATTGGACCACAAAGAATCCTAGTCTTTCATCTTCTTAGTGCAACCAGGCTTGTACTAATCTTTTCAACCCGGGAATATCAACATATTGTAGGCGCACTTCAGAAAATTGGAACACAGACTACAAGTATTAAAACGATGTATGCTATTGGTGTTGCGTTTCAATCCTTCTCTGCATTATAGACTGCATCATCGACAGACAAATTTCCTTTTTATTCGCTTTATTTTATGAGGGACTATAGTCGTAGCGTCGTTTCTAGGAAGAAGCATGTTAAACAGTTGGCCAAAATCTCACCGCCACAAGCTGGTTTGCCTCAATAAGGAATCTGTGTGTGCTAAAGCATCCTGACCCTTCTAATTCTTGAAGCCGCCTGTGTGCTTTCACGCCGTTTTTAAATATCATATAAAAACTTAAAGAAAGGCAATCCACTCATAATTTCACGACCACTGGGTTCAAACCAATTCCACTTAGTTCGGGTCATCAGAGTTCTGGCCAGTAGTTTGCCATTCTGGTTCAGCCTATGCTAAACATTACAAGATTGGATACGGAAAATATATAGAATCTATGAAAGCTTTGTTGGCTTACTTACTTTGTGATATCTTGTTAACACATCTTAAACTATTTTACTCTAAAATGACACTTCTTGCTAACTGGTAGACTGTTTTGTATTTAATATTAACTGTTTAAACATGTATTAGTATTTTAAAGTAATTGATGGATATTTTAAAATTATTTCTTCTTATTATAAACGTTATGCAGGGTAGACTAGATTCTCCAGCCTTGGATGGTAGAGAAAGGAAATTCTTGTACTGGGTGAACAAGAGCATAACAGATCTATTAGAACATTAGTTAATAAATAATGTGAAGAAGACATGGTCAAAACTGATCCATTCCAAAATACCCTGGCTTTATGGTCAACCATAAGTGCTTCCCAGAGATTGGTGAAAGCTATACAAATGTCTGTATATGCGAGCTTTGATCAGAAAGTCTACAGCCTTGTATATAGTTGTGAGTTTAATTTTGATCTGAATTTTCACTATTTAATGTTGGATCTTTGTAACTGATATGCAACAGAGAACTTTAAAAAATTCAGGGCGTAGACAATCATAGCTCTCCACGGATTCATTTTCTTGTTTATATGTGATTTCTTTACAAAGATCGTAAACTTGTTTCTTTTATATTCTTCACGACTTTGGATTCATAGATTTTTTAGCTAATCTGGTGTCGCTGACAAACCTAACCTGGCCGTCGGTCTCGAAAAGGATCTCCAAATCGGTTTTTGACTGGGGCAGGAAATGGCTGGTTAACTTTAATGCCTCAAAAACAAAACTGCTCTTTATTACCCACCACAGAGGACCCTCCTTGCCTCCCATTAGAATGTCTGATGCTCAACTCCACGAGAGCACCTCTTTGCACTGTCCGCTAACCTGAGATAGAACAAATACATTGAATCAATTGCTTCATCTACTGCAAGGAAAGTTGGTTCTCTGTGTCGCGCCAGAAAGTTTTTTCTCGCCTGAGTCCATCCTTCCAATCTATAAATCAACCATTCGCCCTTGCATGGAATACTGCTGCCATATATGGTGTGGAGCCCCCACTGTTCGCCACAAGGTCCCCGACAAAATCCAGAGACGGATATGGAATGTGGTTGTCCTTCGTTTGCAGCCGCTCTCTCACAGACGTGCCGTCGCCTCCCACTGTTTTTTCTACAAATGCTTTCACGGTAACTGCTCCCACGAGCTACTTTCGCTGGTTCCCAAACCGCATGAATATAAACGTGCCACTAGGTCAGCATCTCAGTCCCACCCTTTCACTGTCGAAACGGTTAAATGTAGCCGCCTCTTCTACTCCAACAGCTTCATGTCTCGCACTTCCCGTCTGTGGAACTCCCTTCCTCTTACTTGCTTCCCTGATAGCTCTAATCTCCAACTATTCAAATGCAATGTCAATCGACATCTCCAGATGCCTTGATTTAATTCCCCGTTCTTCTCCTCATTCTTTCTTCTATCACGCCTCTTTACTCTTCCTCCCACTCTCTCTAACCCCTTGCGTGCTAGTGGCACTCCCAACTTGCTTGGGGTGAAAAGCTTAAAAAAACTACCAAAATTTGCTCGATAGCACAGTCGACAATGCTATTTAACTCATAACTGGGGACGAATGAATTAGGTGTCTTGATCAAGAAAGAGATTATGTTGAAAAATAAATTCATCATTAGGCTGTTAGATTGTTTATTTTACTTATATATTTATCTATTACTAGCAGCAGAGCCCGGCATTGCCCGGGGATATAACAGTAAGAGATAGATCAAGTATCCACCATCATAAAGACTGAAAAATAAAATTGACAAAGATTATTGTTTAAGGTTGACGGACAGCCATGTCTTAATTATTTTTTTTTTTTTTTTTTTTTTTTTTTTACGAATTGGTCAAACTCAAACAAAAACATTGTTTTCAATCGTTATGAGTCTACCGATTGAATAGAATTTTATTATAAACAATTGTCTTGTAAATGGAATTTTTAAAGCATTCTGAATGTAAAAATAAAGAAAAAAGTGTTCAAGACAATAAGAAACACTACCTGCCAAAAAAAAGGTGAAGTTTTATTGAAATCAGTTGAAAAATGGAGGAAATCCGGTCCCATATATAAACGAACACACACACACAAACAACCTGAGTTTTATAATAAGTATAACACGATATGAGTTGTCCCCCTTTCATTCTCGCGATGCCTCTTAATCGTGTTTTCAAATTGATTTTGTGCAAAAACAAATGTGTTTTTCCAATTTTTGGCGCTGTCAGAACCACCGCAAGCTAATTTTACGTAGTCCTGTGAAGTTTTGTTGAAATCGGTTGAAAAATGTAGGAAATCCGATCCAATATATAAACGTACAGACACACACACACACACACACACACACACACACACACACACACACACACATACACACACAGACACACACAACCTGGGTTTTATAATAAGTATGATTTATTATTTCATCCATTTACGTCTTTCCTTTATTTATTTGTTTTGGGATTCGAAATAAAGTTTCCAAATCCAGAAAGCAAAACAAATTGCTATTACGCTACCTACAACCACATCTTAGAAAAAAAAATGAAAACAATGTCGCAGAATCTAAATCTAATAAACTTTATTTCAAATAGAAAAACGTAGAACAAAAATATGCAAATTAAATGAATAAAAGATAGAACTGGAGAAAAAAAATCAAATAAGTAAACTAAAGGTCATTACCATAAATAACTGAAAACATTAGCCCTAAACAACATAACTGGGTTTTCTCCTCCTCCGACTTAACTTAATCCCCAGTGACCTATATATAGAGTCGGTTAAAGAAATAGTGACACTTTAAAATCGCTAGAGGCGTCAACTGAGAGTCACCATGCAATGTTGATTACTATGCATCACAATGTATGTCTATAGACACTCTGCCTCACCATATATATATATTGTCATCCACAGACAGACTGTTTCGCTGCATCACAGTTCATCAGTGTAGCTAGACGTCAGGATGCCTCTAGTTAAGATCGAAACCAGGCTGAATTGGAGTCAATCGGAGAATCTACCCCCTAAGCCGCTGGTGCACGGCAGGAATGAAGGCGAATTTAAGTGTATTTATTTTTAGATAAACACGCCAATGTGACTGAGAGAATTCGATTAGTTTTATTGAAGAGTCTTGTATTAGCAGCAGTAGTAGTCACTGTTTGAAAATTCACACTTTCTCCCTCGAGAGCTCAACCTAAATAATTTTTGAGGAGCATATATATTGTCATCCATAGACAGACTGTTTTGCTGTACCACAGAACATCAGTGTGGCTAGACGTCCGGTTGCCTATAGCTAAGATCAAAATCCGGCCAAATTGACGCCATCCGGAGTGTCTACCCATATATATATATATATATATATATATATATATATATATATATGTCAAAATATATGGATATAGATCCGACAGTATGAAGAAAAGTATACGTAAAAAACAAACAAAAATCCTTATATGCAATTATGCTGTTTTAATTCTTAAGTCTTGTTCTTATGTCCATCGTCT